AGGAAAGTCGTTTTTACACACGGTGCAGTTGCCTGGGTCAGGTTTTATTTCAGGGCTTCCAGTATCCCCCTCAGATCCTGGGGACGGCATCCTCCACCCGGTGTTTTATCTTCGCAGCTGATTCCTCCTGTTTCTGCAAAGAGCCATGTGTTCCTCCCTCTGCCACCACGTCACCTGTCCATGCTCCATAGTTATTGTAGGGTCCTGGGAAACAACCTCAAATGGCCTCACACGCGCAGCCCTGGCACCTTTCCCTGGGATTAAACCACACTTGGGGCAAAATGAATCTCTGCTGTCCTCTGAAGAGGCATCGCCTCTCCCCACAGGGAGGGCAAACAGCCACAAGCAGAACCTGTGGGGCCAAATGAAGGGCCCAAGCAGGGCAGGGGGAGCAAATGCCATCGTGGCTGTCACAGAAGGGCTGATCCTGGGGGCAGCAGGAGCCACACCGTGGGGGGAAGGGGAGGAAAGCTCTCTGCCAGGAGAGCTGTGGGTGTTAGTAAGGAGACTGCCCTGGGGAAGGCAGAAGTCCCTCCTGCAATTCTCAGTGCTGGCCGCATGAGCCTGGAGTAGAAAATAAACCTGTTAGAGGGAGAAATCATCCTTATAAATTTTTTCCATTAAATAAGATGGAAGGGGTCTTTCTAGGATGAGAGGCTGAGCCTGTTTGGAGGTTACTGCTGCTGAGCACCTGCTTTGTGAGAGTGTGAGAAATGCTCCTGTGGATTAGAGCGTGTGGCTGCTCGAGAGACTCTGCGAGAAGGGGCCGTCATTGCTTTGTCAGTGTGTTGCTGGGCTGTCCCTCGAGGACCTGCAGGACTAGGGGGAATGTCTCTCAGCTGAAATACATATATTTAAGGTGAATGAAGTGCGTCAAGGAAGGAGTGTCATTAAAGAAGCTTCCCCATCAAGAGCTCCAGGACTGGGAAGTGATTTTGTACAGAGACCCCTCGGGCTGAGGTGGAGGATGGCTGCGGTGGGGGGGACACAGAGCTGCCGGTGGCCCCAGAGCTGTGCTGCCACAGCTGGCTGCCCCACGCTTCCTCCCTGCGCTGGCCTGGCTGTCCCTTCATTGCTCCCAATGGTGTATTTAGGAAGCAATCAAAAATATTCCAGGGTGGTGAGAAAAATCTGGCTGGGAAAGCGGGGCTGATGCTGCACAGCCTGGGCAGGATGAGGTTTGCCGGTGCCTCAGCACAGGGGGGTCCGGGGGCTTCATCCACCCACGGCACTTAGGTGTTGGTGGGTGGGTCAGAGGCAGCTTTGAGGTACCCCAGAAGAAGTCCTCCACCATCCCCTGGAGGTGCAGCGAAACCAGCCTGATGGGAGAGTGTTTCACCCCTACATGCCATTTCTGGATCCTCTCCAGTTTCCGCAGGAGAAGCCGGTTTTGCCGGAGGAGGCGGGAGGTGCGGGATGGGCACTGGGAGGAGTGGGTGATGCCATGCCCAGCCATAGGGCTCCCCCAGCCACAAGCCTGCGCCCCGCTGCCTTCCTGCAAAGCCAAGGACAACGGCAGCTGCCTCGTGCTTTGCACTGCCGCACGCCCAGCAAGTCGCCCCAATGCCACAGGGATGGGGAGCATGGGTGCAGCGAGAGGTGCTGGGCAGGGCACGAGGCTGGGTCCCCTCTGGTAATGGCACCGCATCGGGCTACGGAGTATGGTGCAACGGCAGGCAGGTGGCAGGCAGCATATCCTCATCCCCTCACTCAGCACAGAGGTCTCCAGTCCCCCAGCTCTGGGGCTTTGGGGGTGTTTTTGCTTGCGCCAGGGGAGAGCAAAGAAGGAACAGCCCAGCACGTCTTTCCCAGTCCCAAATAACGGCAGCTGCTTTGTTTTCCTGTCTGTGCAATATGCACCGGTTCCTCCCTCATGCTATGCACAGGACACACAGGATCCCAGGGATGGAGCATCGTCTGCAGGGTAATTAGCAGCGCTGGGGGCTCTGCCTTTGGGAGCGTGTGGGGCAGGTGCCGCTGGGCTGGGCGGGCTGGCAGATGGCCTGAAGGACTCTCTGGGGATCTCAAGCCATTACCAATAATCCAGAGTCTTTCTTCAAACATGATGTGGAAGTGCCTTGCCAGTGCTGCGGGAGGAGGGAGGCTGTGCCTGTGCCAAGACCGCACACGCCAGCCCCAGCCGCTCTTCATGGCCTCCCCATAAAATTAACTCGAGGTCCGTGGCTTGATGTGCTCCCTTGCATGGTAACGCTTTCCATCACTTACATTAGCAGCAGCCGTGCTGTGGATGAGGACACGTGGATGGGAACCTGGACTGTCCCTCCTGCTGGCCAGAGACCTGGCCCTTGTAGCCACTGTGCTCGGCACTGTATGAGCCCACAGCAGGGATGGCTGCCCCCCAGCCACGCTCGGGGAATGGGGTCTGTGCCAGCTGCCAGCCCTGCAGACGGAGTGAAGAACACGCTCGGGTTTGCTGATCCCCGGGAGCCACCTCTGCTGTGCTCTGGGCAGCTCCACAGCTGCCCTTTGGCGAGAGCTGAGCCAGCCACAGGGATGGTCTTCTGCCCTTCCAGAGAGGAGGATCCTCACCTCCTTTTACCCATCCTCTCTGGAAAGCGGCACATCCCTAAGAGCCTCCAGGCTCAGGCACGGGCCTGCAGCGAGCACAGCTCAATGCCGGGCACTTGCCCTCTTTGAAACCCCTCTCCTTTCCCACCTGCTCCCCCAGCTGCACAGCACGACAAACCCGCTGGGGTTGAGTGCTGCAGACAAAAGATTGTTTATCAGGACCCGCCGCAGCCTCTCCCGGCGCTGGCTTGCTTTAATTAGCCCCATCAAAGCCGGCTGCGTCTCTCCCTCCTGAAAGGTTGCAGAACATGATTAATTCAGGCACAGAAAGCAGCCGCCTCCTGCAGAGAGGGGCCCCTCTGATAAGGCCAAAGCTGTTTCCTCTCCCCACGGCACTCTGCGTTTCCCAACCCCACGCAGTGAGGTCAGGGGCTCCTTTCTCCTGCGACAAAGCTATGGATGGGCTCAGGCTGCCCCAGGTGCCGGAGGGGACAAGCGAGAGTGATGGCCTCACCGAGCCCTGGGTCTCTCTCTCCATCCCACCCATGCCGCAAGTGCAGCCGCTGTCTGCTCCGGTCACAGGCATCGCTCACTGCCCATCTCTGGGTCTGCAGGTGAGACTGTCCACCAGAAATTCTAGGGACGTGTAGCGGGGATGGCACATCCCCACTGGGTCTGGGCTCACACCAGCTCTTGCCAACATGGAGGTCCACAAAAGAGCCCATGGGAGATACAGGGGATGCTCCAGCTGCCACCAGTGCCGAATTCCTACAGTCAGTCCTCCGCACAGCCCATGGTTGTGCAGGCCGTAACTCAGCTTTATTAGCTGCGTTTGTAGGCAAAGGGTTTTTAAAAGGAAAAGGCCTTTGGGGAAAAGAGATAGACGGGGGGATAGCTTCCCCCTTTTTATTTATGCCAGCACGGCTGCACGCCACGTACCGACAGCGTTCAATACCCCGGAGAGCCAATTACCGCAAGGAGCGCAGCCAGAGCCAAGGCTGGGCTGTTCTCCACTTAATTTTCTTAATACAGTCACATCATCTCGGAAAAGCGCTGCTGCTCAGGGGAAGGTACAAAGCGGGTTCCCAGCGTGAATCCTCTGCCCTGGGGAGCCCAGGCAGAGCTCCCATCAAGGGAGCCCAAGGGCACCGTTGGGGCTTCCCTTCTCGTGGCGGGGAGAAAGGGGCTGGGGCAGGGGAGCGGGGGGGGTGGCCACCCTCAGCAAGCACCAACACAATACAGTTGTTGGGTTTTTATTTCAATCTCATGAACATCCTTCCAAGAAATCACACCATGAGGAGAAAAAAAATAGTATGAACCCCTGACAGGACAGACGAGCCTGCAGCCCAAAAATTAACTGACCTGGGGGGAGCTGCGGGGAAGGGAGGGGGGTTTCCAGAAAGCTCAGGAGGCTGAGCCACAAAGACCTCACCCATCCTCCCCAAGTTTTTTGGCAGCGTTCAGCCAGGCAGAGCCACACCAGCCTTGTGCAACAGGGCTGATGGTAGGGAAACACGTCCCTACAAACCCCTTCTGCAAAGCAAATCCCACAGCCAAGCAAGGCCCCTGTGCACGTCCCCAGAAGTGTCCCAGCTCGGTGATGGGCTCAGCTCCGCCATGCCTGGAGAACCAATGCTGGACCTGCCCAGTCGTGCAGGTACTGAGCACCCTCCCTCCTAGCCCAGCCCCGCATGGTGCCTGGTGGGCAGCCCTTGCCATGAAGCCTGCGGGGCTTCACATGCTGCCCGGGAATGAAAGCCAACAGGGAAGAGAAGGGGCAAGGTGGGGCCAGGAATTCAACATATGTCTCTTCTCATGCACGTTAAAGGTGTTGCTGTGGCGGTCTTTAAAGCCAGTGGGCACGGCCATGCGGAGGCTGATCTCAGCCGCTGCCAGGGGGTCTGCCCATGGAAACCCTGTGGGATGGGCCTTCTGGCCCTTCACACTGATCAGCCCTTCACTTGGATAAAGAGCAAGAGAGAAACCATCTCTGCATTGGGAACCCACTCCGGCTGCCACTCTCAGCCCGGCTACTGCAGCTCCTCATCACGGGAGCAGCATGAAGCCAACTCCCTCCTCAGCACCGACCGCTTGGGTAACCCCAGCAGCGAAAGCGGTGCCACCCCAGAGAAGAGGAGGAGGAAACCCCACAGCACCCGGGCTGTTCTCGGAGCACCAGGATGCACCCCACACTGCCGCCTCATGCAGGGCAGGACCAATTCAGCTGGGTGCAAATGGCCGGCACCCTCAGAGCAGCACGGAAAGAAACGGACCTACTGCTTCCTCTTCTATTCTGCTCACAGAGAAACCTTTATAGCTGGTCTGACACAGGAAGGTGGCCCCGAGTGCGGAGAAACAAAACGCTGCTGAAAAGATCGAAGTGCACCAAATGGGGAGCAAAGAGGGGGAAGCGCCCCTGCTTCCCAGGAGACTGCTCTGGCCGCAGCCATGAGAAGCCATGTGGTGACTTCTCACATGAACATGTCGTCATAGCCTGGAGGGGGAAGGTGGTCAGGATCTGGCCTGGAAAGAAATTCAGAGCAGAGTCAAACCAGGAGCAAGAGCTCTGTCCCACAGCAACAGGGACAAGCCAGGAGATCGAGGGGCAGCCCAGACAACAGGCTGGAGATACCAGGCATGGCCAAATACCTACCCAGACCTACCAGCCCCTAACGGGCCAAAGGGGTCGAATCTGGCGCCTGGTGGAACTGCTCCCGGAGGAAGTCGGCCTGGGATGCCTGAGGATGGGTCAATGCCAGGCTGCGGGAAGCCAGACCGGAGAGGATCCACGATCATTCCCCCACTCCGACCTCTGGGGAGAGGAAAGGCAGAGAAGGAGATGAGACTGGCACTGGTGAGAGAGAAGCAAAGTGTATCCCTGTGCCAGACCTCTGCTGCAGGAATG